TAAAAAGTAAATAGTTTATTTATAAACTATACTAAATAAATATTCCTGACTTAATGAACCATTAGGTGAGGAATATTTTCTAAGAAGTAATTTTTGTTATCTAAGAAGAGAAAAAATAAGAACAAAATATTAATTAATGAACAAAAAAGAAGTAATTGATCTACAACCCCTCTTAAAAACTAAAAAACTTTTAGAAAAGGTTGTAAAAGAAGGAACTAGCAGTGAATTAGAAGAAATGGGCGGCGTCCAAGCCTTTGAAATGGCTTATGAATTAAGTTGAAAAACTTGCCAAAAAATTCTCAAAACCAAAGGGGTAGAAGTTTATAGCCCAAAAGAAACTTTCCGCAAAGCTGCGGCCGAAGGTCTAATTCGCGAGTTTGAAGTATGAGGAGAAAAATACTTAGAGACCAGAAATTTAACCGTTCACAGTTATGAAGCCGACATATTAGCCGATGTTTGAAAAGTATTACCAGATTTTTTAACTGATCTGGATTACTTAATTAGCAAAATCCAAGAAGAGATTAGTAAATAGTTATGAATCTACAATTAGAAGAAAGACATCACAAGACAATTCAACAAATACTGGACAAATACCCTTACAATTTCTATGCTTATGGTTCGCGAGTAAAAGGAACTGCATGAAAATACTCTGATTTAGATGTCTGTTACCAGGAAGAGGTGCCGTTGTCCATTATTAGTCAAATCCGCGAACAGTTTACAGAATCTAATTTACCTTTTGAAGTAGATTTAGTTAATTGAAAGCACATGCGACCTAAATTTCAGGAATTAATTAAGTCAGATTTGACATTGCTAACGAAACATTAAAATAGAGCAGTGATTAGGTATTAGAAGACACCACCAAATTAATCCCACTAATAAACTAACAATTTTTATTCAGTATCAAGTTTTCTTTTTTCTAAAATTTTTATTGAGGTTAATAATTCTAATCAGTCTTAAAACGCTTTGCAGTTCGGTTAATTAGCCACATAATAATTGGCACAAGGAGAATTAAAAAGATGACAAAGGCAATTCATTTTCAGTGCCTTAGTAAAAGTTGCCAACTTTGGTCGTTTTCTGGTTGGTAATTATTGGGCGGCATAATAAACAAGATTATTAATGATGCTAGGGCGGATAACAATAGCACTACGTGAGGAATGATAAATCAAGTGCGTGGAGGCTTTTTTCCTCTTACATATTCAAATTTCTTCTTTTTGAACTTTCTTTGTTTATAGTTTCTCATATAAGTTGATATAATTAGTTTTTATAAATTCCTTAATTCTTATTAGGGGAGGAATATTGTTAGTTAGTTCACTTTTTACAAGTTTTAAAAAATAAAGTTATTTATAAATCGTTTACGGGCAGTTTAGTAGAGGCTTTAAAAAACTTAACTAAATTAGAAATAAAAGTAGAAATTCCTCCAAAAAAGTAATTTCGCAGCATTTTTAGCGAGAATAATCATCTTGCTGAACCGAGGCGGTGATTTCTTCTTCTATTATTTCCTCCTCCACTGGTATTTGCCGAAAAGTTTCTCCTAAGTTTTGAGTTATTTCCCCTGCTACTGGCTCTGATGAAGTGCTAGCAATTGTTTCTAATGGAATGTCAGGAACTTCCTCTATTTGAGCGGTCTCTTTTTTATTTCTGTTGGTTAAATCGAGAAAAAATGTAGATATTTTTTTACTGCTTTTGCTTGGAATGTCTTTTAACTTCTCCTTGTGAAATAAATGCCCGTGTTCTTTGAAAACAAAAAACGAATAAATTATAGCAGCGATCGCAACTGCGGCAAAAGATATAGCAGCAGGGATAATGAATAATTGTGGATTAGAAACTATGACTGTAAGCGTGTATTGCACGAGGTCAAAAAAATTGCATAAACTATACTGTCATCCCGAGATACTGCCAATTTGGGTAGGATTGACTGTTTGCTGTAAAAGAACAGTCTCGGAAAGGTCAAACATTCATAAACCAACCCTACTTAAAGCCATTCCTCCAAATAATAAGGCTGAAGTGGTTCCTTTACTAAGCGTTCCTGCCAAGGCTATGGCTAAAACCACTGGAATTAAAGCCAGAACTTCCGACCACAAAGACCATAATCCAGTGCGGACAATGCCAATTCGCCTTGACAAAATTGGCATTAAATAGGTTGCTAAAATTCCCATGCCGGCTGCTACTGCTCTCATAATACCTAATAAATATTCTGGATAATTGACTAATTTCAGATAAGAAATCATAACCCCACCAAAGGAAAGAACAGTAAGATATAACAGGGCCAGGGATAAACTAGCCAGGAAAATTTTATGTCGAGTATAATCCCTAAAAGACGCATTTTCCGTCTCGGGCAAGGGCCCGCCCGCTTGATTAGATTCTCGGGGTAATGCTAATTCTGGCGTTGAGTTATATACTTTATGAATAAGATAGTATTCGGCGATTGCTGAGATTAAGGCTCAGGAACCCATAATAATTGCTGATGATTGAGAACCAGCCAAAGCCAAGAAGCCAACGGCAACCGGAGCAACTGCTTTACAAAACAAGTCAATTCTCCGCATCACAGTTAACATTGGCGTAGTATTCCCACCCGAAATAACCATCGTTCAATCTTTCTCAATGGCTATATCATTAGCAGTAGATGATAATTTAAGCAGGCAGCCCAAAGCCACAATTCCGCTAAACAACAAGTTATTTTGGATCGGACTTTGAGAGCCATTTCGCAGGAGAATATAAAAGCAAACAGAACTGGCTATTATGGATAACTTTTGTAGCATTAAACTGGTTCTGACCACCGCTAATCTGGGATATTTATCAACTAATTTTCCAACATAAGAACTACCTATTACTGCCGCCAAAGTAGTGATAAGTCCATAAAGAGAAGGATACAACAAAGAATTAGGAAAGGCTGCCACCAAAAGTAGATAAGAAGCAAATTCAAACATTCTACTTATCCAGGAAGTTAAAAAATGCGAGGTGTATAATTTAGAGTTTTTCATTTTGCGATGATTGTTTGATATTTCGTTTACAAGGAGGGAATAAGTGTTAATCTCTTTAAAATTCTTGCCGTGAGAATACTTTTTTTTTGTTAGAAAGAAAAGAGCAGAAAATTAATCATATTATAATTTTTAAAGTTTTTATGTGATAAATTAAGAAATCAAATATTTAATTATTATGGTTGGAATAAGTTGGAATAATAAAATAAACATATATGGTAAAAAGACCCATAAAACCCAACAAAAATATAATTAATACTATAAATAGTATTCTACCAGAAAATAAACCTCAACCAAAATCCCGCCAACAAATCTACGCTGAGAATTACCAAAAAAACAAAGAAAAAAAGAAAGCCCAGCAAAAGGAAAATTATGCTAAAAAGAAAGAACAAGAACAGGCACAGTTAAATAAATACTACCAAGCCACCAACATCAAAATCCTCCTATCTTTTAAAGAATACATTGACTTAAACAAAGCAACTAAAAAACTCTGACTAGACTTCAATCAAACCCTCAAAGACATTAAGGAGGAAATAACCGACATAGTCCCTATTATGAAATTACGAAAAAGTGTTGAGAACTTAATAAATAATTATTGAGAAACTGCTAAAAGTGAAATCAAAAAAGGTAAAAATTGGAATGCCTTGGACTATGACGAACAACAAAAATTAATCCGTTATTGAGGGTATGAGAAAGCCAGAATAGAAAATAATTTTCTTACTACTTCCGAAAGATTGGAAAGAAAAAGCCAAGAATACTTAAAAGATATTGAAAGGGCTAAATTCCACGAACAAAGAGGCAAAATGAATTGTCCTTGTTATGATTGTGAAACTAAAAAGGAAATTCAGGCTGAAATAAAAGCAGAGAGGGAGAAAATTATTGCTGAGTATGAGAAAGAACAAAAAACAGATAAAGAACAATGTCCCGAATGTAAAAAATGGTTTAAGGAATTGGATGAGGAAGCAGGAGTATGCAAAAGTTGTAAAAAGAAGTATGAATAAAGGTGTTTTTGTTGGTTATACTCCTATAATTTGCCAAAATTTATATAACCATGATTATCACTTTTGCGGACAAAGAAACCGAAAAACTGTGACACTGAAAGAAAAATCCTAAATTTGG